GTTTCCGATGTTTCGGATGCTTTACAACAATCATGGTCACGGGAGAGACTACGCCTCTAAATGTTAAAAAGGTCATTATATATTTGTTACAAGCAGCACCTGTGAAGCATTCGAAACGTCAGAAATTTAAAATCAAAATATATCCGCAAAGATAGTTTTATTCAAACTAACTATACAAATTTGATAAATATATATGTATTTAGTTCATTCAACTATAGTGTTTTGCTACATGCTTAGAGTACTAAATTGTGGACATATTCATAGATGTCACAGTTTATAAATGATGTTCCATTTTTCCCAGTCGTATCTCGGGCTACGTGGTGCGGGCAACGCGCTACAAGCCGCAGTGCGCTTTTTGCGAAACATTTCCCTCGGGACACTCTCAGTCACTCGCCTAGCTTCATATTACCTACGTATTTCATATAATATTTCTGAAAGTGAAATATTTTTTAGTTGTCATAATATGATTAATAAAATATATAAAGAAGTAGGAAGATGGCGCGAATGGGAAAACAAATTTATAATATTTATCTTTAACTATTCTTACTAAATTAGAGTTATTTTTTGTAATAATATAATATAGAAACATTACTACTGGTAGAAGACAGTAGTAGCCCAATGGTAACGCCCTCGCTTGGGCAACCACGTGAACCAAGTGAAGCGGGTTCAAATCCTGGGTCGCACCTCTGATATTTACATGAGCAAATTATGTTCCAAAATGATTACCACTTGTCTTACGGTGAAGGAAAATATCGTGACGAAACCTGCATGTCTTTGAACTTAGCAAGTTTTCGAAAGGCATGTGAAGTTTGCCAACCCACACTTGGCCAGCATGGTGGACTATGACCTGATCCCCCTCGTATTGAAGAGGCCCATGCCTAGCCTCCTGCGACTCTTGTGTTAGAAAGTATACCGTATCGTAGCTTATGTGAACCTACGTTCATTCCTTGAAGTAATGTAAATTTATTTAGGCGTGTCTTGAAAGTAAGACGAATAAGAATAATATCTATAAATTAATTGCGACCTACCCTGGTTTTGCTCGGGTGCTAACGGCTTAGGTGGTAATTTTTAAAATATTGATAGCGAATTGATTTGTTTTTTGATTGGTAGAGAGTTCACCCACAACCACTTTTAAAACTAGATATATGTAATTTCAAGTAAAAAAAAAAATTACGACTTACCGAAGCAATAATATATATATATATATAATGAATAGATAATATGACAATTGGTGAGAGTTTGTTTTAAGTTTTATCATTTTTAAAAAGTGTTATTTCTATTATTTTTTTATTCGACCTTCTTCGATCGCGGCCGCGCCAGCTAGAAAATATAAAAGGTTTTAATGTATTTTCAACAGTTACAAACCTATAAAAGAAAACGAAACCTAACATCAAGTCAGATGTAAATTGAAACCCACTCTAATGTTAGTTTATTGATTTTGCTTTGTAACCTTGACCTTAATCGACGCCTAAACGAGAACCGGACTTTGGTCGTTATATTCCATTTTCACCCTCGCAAGATAATATCTAAAGTATGAATCTGTTTTTGAATGCATTTATGTGTTTCTCTACAAATTGTATTTCTCTATTTATGTTAGTATATCTACTCTTTAATTTGAGGGCTTTAGAGTTTGTCAAATCGAATGTAGGAAAATGCAATGTCTTTTCAAATAGCTGGTTGTAAAAAAATTAAATTATAAGGATTATTCTTAGAATGTAAAAATTACTCGATTGCTTGTAATTTTCCTATACATATTCCTATATATATTTTGTAAAAGGTGGTTTAATAGAATACTATTAATAATTTTATAATTTAATTCTAAACAAGTAACCAGTTCCCGAGATAATAGGTAGCCTGCGAGGAGAACAAAACGTAAGCACATTCCACCTAAGGTACTCGTATCATTCGAGCACGTACCGAGCGCCCGCCCGCCCTGGACCACCCGCGCCCGCCCACGGGTGATTGATCAAACGTCATTAAACTCTCACATTTATCAAATCTCTCTCGATTACGATGTAACTTTTATTTTGTTCCTAGACATATCGTATGTGTGAACGTATGAAGTTGTCAGCTACCTCTCGTTTAAACCTTATTTTATACACATTAACTACACAACACATCAAATATTAAAGATGGACGGTGTGAAAAATAGATAACAAAGTTAATATATGTAATAAAAATGCAATACAATATAAAAGATTTAGTAGAAAAGTATTACAAGTTAAGAAAATAAAAATACCAAATACTTAAAATGAATGTCATAGATATTAATCCCTCAACGACCGCGGACACGCCGGCGTTACAGTCAACAATAGATTTCTTAGAAATTTAATTAGGCTTGTCAAATCAAACAAAATAAGCCCAAACTCAAACTATCTACTATTAGCCGTTAAAGAGTTCCACCTATCCACCTTCTGGCCTTACCATCGGATCAGGTCAACAACACCGAACAACTGTACTATCAACGGAAATAGAAATACATGCAAAGTTTCACGTCAATATGACAATTAGAAGTAGGTTAAATTCATCATTAGTTGTTTTTCCACCCTTAGGGGTGGTATTTTCTTTTTGAAATTTAAATGAGACCAATTTGGAAGTATACACTTTCAAACAAAACAAAAATAGTGCAAATCGGTTAATAAATGACGGAGTTCTGAGGTAACAAACATAAAAATAAATATATTCGAATTGAGAACCTCCTCCTTTTTGAAGTTGGTTGAAAATAAAATGATGATTTCCTATAGCGACTGTCACCCAATAAATGTAGTCCAAGTAACAAACCTGTAAAAGAACGTTGGAAATGAAAAGATTACAATATTATGAAATCATAGAACTGAAATGAATAAAAAAATGTACTTACCTTTGACGACCGTCTCGTGGTAATCCACAATTAATTAGCCGACCTTTTCCCGTAAGAATTTATTCGTCTCACCTTTTCAAAGAAAATCTATACAAGGCCTTATTAATTATTAATTTCTATGATTAATATTTATAAGAAAACTTAAAATACCTAAGTGATACCACTATTGAAGTATTGTTTTAGCGTCTGTTTGTCGCACATAACGTAGTATTTACTGCTCTCTAGCATGTATGGATACAAAATCGGAGATTCTGGGTTCAAGTTCAGGGTCGGGTCAAGTATATTTACTAGGATTTCCTGTTAATAAGTTTCAATTAATATCCCGGCATGTTGGCGGTGTTATACCCCTTTGTCTTAGAGAGACGGCTTCGCGTTGGTCCTACACCTGCTCTCTTCTCACTGGAATATTAGAATGACAGGAAATGAGAATACATGTTGTCTTTGTGTGCATACTTGTGCACTATAATATCTTCTGTTCGTTCGTTATAGGTAAATTTGTATTATAGCAGGTAGAAATAACTCTTTATATGCAGTAATCAAACCCGCCCTCTCTGATGTCTGACGAAGCAGTCAGCGTCACAATGTGCCAAAATACTATACTAGAATATTTCTCAACAGATATCAATAATAAGAACTAGAGTCTGATACAAAATAAACAGCCGTAAATATTATCAAGTGTTGTAAAAATCACCTTTTTTGTAATATATTTATGTATGTTATTTTTTATTCTTTACAACTCCCAAGCAAAATGTAACAAACAGCAAAATGAATGAGTGTAATAAAACTGACAATATACACGAGTACAATATGTATGGAGCGGAACGCGCCTCGCTAGCGCCGTGATACGGAGTGTAAATACCATTAATAATATTCTTTATTTCCCGAGT